TTAAATAAAAAGCGTCCCCGCACGAACCTCTACCTCCGCCTGCAGGACCTTAATTTCAGACTCAGTAAAGTTTTTTTTTCTTTTTTCTTTGTGCTCATCATTCTCAAGAATAGAAATTCGGATATTGGCATGTGCTGTTTTATATGGTAATGATATTAATTAGGGGGCGTTTACAAGGTGGAGATCTGACACCAGTCAGCTGCGCACAATTTCAAGATCATTTGCGATTTATAAATGTCACATCTGGAAGAGAGGCGTACGCACGTGTTTTTGTGCGCACATGTTCATTTTCTCTGAATCGGAGGCGTACGCACGTGTTTTTGTACGCACGTGTTCATTTTCTCTGAATCGCACTTGCGCACTTTTGAGAAATTATCTTAGAACAAATTTAGGACAGTTTATACGCAACATTTTATAAATGAGGCCCCTGATCATTTTAGTCAGGTATTGTATCGTAGTCATAATTTTAGTATTGTGACAACAGTAAATATCAATCGAATTAATTTGAATTGTATGAATAATATTTTAATTTGAATAATTTTAAGTCATGCTGAGGCCCCCTAGTGGGTCCCGGCACCCTGGTTAATAACCACTGATATAATAGTGATACAACAGTCATATAAGTCAGTATGGTGGCAAATCCAACACATTTCATATCGACCATCTTTCCTGGAGTTATATTTAGTTCACTGCCGTGATCCATGAGCTTATCTACAACAGCATTCATTAAAAGGCATCCTGTTATGCTTTACATATTTTATTTTACACAAAAAGATAAGTGGATACAGAGACATGACTCCTGCATGACTCCTGTACAACCTTATGACGGTATAAATGCATTTACTATGGAGACACATCAGTCATTAGTCATTAGAGGACAGTACCTCAGTGGCACAGAAGTGCAGTCAGTATAGAAATACCAGACTCAAGACTTGAAAAATCTACAAGATTTCCAGTGGTTAAAAAAAACACTCATGCGAGTGGTAGCACTTCCACTCAGATACTAAGTATCCTGACTCTATGCTGAAAATGCTTAATATGTATCAAGTCTTCAGTCACAGACCAGTTTTAGGTATTTCAGTTAGAGTCTCTCCACTCTGCTCCTTTTTTTCCTTCAGGGTTGCATGCGGATGGCTCCATCCAAGCGAATCACCTCGCCGTTGATCATGGGGTTTTCTGCTATTGCAGTCACAAGGTGTGCAAACTCAGCTGGATCTCCCAGACGTGAAGGGAAGGGCACCTGTCTGGCCAGGAAGCTTTGCACTTTCTCAGGTAATCCTGCTAGAAGTGGGGTGGAGAACAGGCCTGTAGGGAAAGAAAATGAGAATATAATTGAAAAGGTCACAATAATACTGAATTAACTGTGTTCAAACAATAGGGATGTAACAATGCACCCTGAGACGGTTGAAAATTGATGAAAATATGTGATGATTCAAGTCCGTTGAGATGTTAAACGAATCGCGCTACAGTTGGGGTTTAAATGAATGTATCTCTGAGGGGAACTGACTGTCTCAATAAGTTTAAATGGTATTTTCTTTTCATCTTGCCTCTGTATAATGCATATTATTGCAGAGCTGTTTTGTTTACAGTGGTAACCGTGGAAACTCTATAACTCTATTTCCCTGCTGTTCCATAAGCGCCACCTGCTGGCAGAGAGTGAATTTGCATCTCATTCAGCCCGTCTGTTTTATGTAGTTTTATGTAGCATAATTTCACAAATCTGAAGTCAGACAATTCTGTTTTTGCTTCAAAAGCATCTTCTGTACAAGGAGTATTTTCAACTGGAAAATGTGGACATGCTGATATTTCTTTAAATAAATAAATAAAATCCAAGCTAGGAAAGAGCACAGGCAAAGCCTTAGTTTGTTTAGTTTTTATATGAATAATTTCTTTTATTTTTATTATTTAATTATTCATTTATTAGATTTTTTTATTTCAGCCTATATCTGTTATTTGACATAAAATATATTTACATTTCAAAAAGAAATGTCCCAAAAAAATTGTGAGAAAATCATATTGTGGATCATTTCACATCGTAAGTTGAGTAAATCATTACATCCCTATCAAACAATGAATTTTGATAGACCAATAATGGGACACAATGACGAGATCATGCTGTTTAGAAACAAAATATGCATCTCAGGGTAACTGACCTGGGGCGATGGTGACCACACGGATCCCCATTGGTGCAAGGTCCCGAGCAATAGGAAGTGTCATACCCACAATCCCACCTTTAGAGGCAGAGTATGCAGCCTGACCCACCTTAAAAAGACAACAAAACACATTACAAAACTTTACAGTGCTGCAGTGTCATAAATCTGTAAGGTTAGCAAAAGAAAGCACACTAACTGTTCAAAAGTTTGGGGTAAGAAGTGTCTTATTCACACCAAGGCTGTTTTTATTTGATAAAAACACAGTAAAAACAGTAATTTTGAGAAATATTATTACAATTTAAAATAACCGATTTCTATTTTAATATATTTTAAAATGTCATTTATTCCTGTGAGGCAAAGATGAATTTTCAGCATCATTACTTCAGTCTTCGGTGTCACATGATCTTTCAGAAATCATTCTAATATGCTGATTTGCTGCTCAAGAAACATTTATTATATTTATCAGTGAAAAGAAAGTTCAGAACAGCATTTATTTGAAATAGAAATCTTCTGTAACATTATAAATGTCTTTAATAATGTCACTTTTGATCAACTTAATGCAGCCTCGCTAAAAGTATTTCTTTAAAAAAAAAAGACATCTTACAGACACCAAATGCCAGACAGTGTATGGCTGATATACCTGTCCATCATAAGCAGCAACACTGGCTGTGTTGATGATACAGCCTCTGTGTCCATCTGCATCAGGCTCATTCTTTCCCATCTCCCCTACAGCCAGTCTGATCACATTAAAAGTCCCAGCGATGTTCACCTTTAATAGATCAAATTCAAAAGAACATTTTAATAAATGCAATTACATGGCATTGCCTGTCTTCAGATATAATTCATCTCAATAGGACTGATGCTTTAGAGAAATAATAACGATAAATTTTACAGTGACCAAAAAATAAATAAAATAAAATGACAGCTGCTCTAGTATATTTAAAATAGTCATCAGCTTTAGAAATATGAAGCAGTGGCATTTGAGGTTCAGTTACAGTTACACTGTAAATGCAGTGAGGCTTACAGTGATAACACGAGTGAAGTCCTCCAGACTGTGAGGAAGGTCCTTTTTAAAGTTGTATGTTTTCACAGCCACAGCTATCCCAGCACAGTTCACAGCCAAGTCCACTTTGCCATACTTCTCCTTGGCCAAATCCACAGCCGATCCCACATCTGACTCCGACGTGACCTGAATTAAAAAACAAAAGCCCAATCAGAAGAAAACAAATAGTCCATATTTTCAAACCAAGCACTGCTGTCTGAAAGAGCAAGAAGAGAAAGTGGAAAATATCAAAGGGTCATTAACAATAAGTGTCACGCACATCAGTAGGTGCAAATGCACATCGGTCCCCGAGAGCAGCGGCCACCTTGTGTCCATCTGAGCTGGGCAGGTCCAGGATCACAGCGCTGGCCCCCTGACTGATGAGCCGCTCCACAGTGGCTCTGCCCAAACCAGAGGCCCCTCCTGTCACCAGACCTACCATACCCTGCCACACAGTCAGTAAATTCACACTGGATGAAGTAAGCTTATGTGTATATTGTTTTTTATATATATATATATAGTTTGCGGAAAGCAAACTTACACAACCTGCATGGAGCTTGTTAATGTTTCATCATACAACAAACAATTCAGTCATGGTTCAACTATAATATGCTGCAAAACAATGAGGTTTAAGCTTACAGCACCGGAGTTTAAGGATATTGTAATAATGTAATAAGTAAGAGCAAAGCTGGTTATTCGCCATTGTTTCTTATGTTTACACGTCTAACAATAACTACCAGTCAAACACTTAACTGCACAGAAGTTCCACTGAACTAGTTAGCACTGCGGCTACAACTCAAAATATGGTGAGAAGATGTGGAATACAACCACACAATGACGTCCAGACTAAGGCGAGCTGCAAAGCAATCTTGAAAAACTTAACTTTAGGACAGACGATTTTTTTGAGCCAGAACATTTCTATTAATTCATTCCATTTCTCTCTCACCTTGACACTTCTGATGTTCGCCATATTCACACGCTGCAACTGCTTTGGTACCAGTGGTGACGTCACCGCGCGTAAGCTCTCTGCCGCCCAATCACAAACACGGACGCGACAACGCCCTTTAAGGCGATTGGCTAGTTAATGTGATTGACATCTTTACAGGACGTCGGACTCGCACGCCAGTCGGTGATCATTCAGAATTAGCAGCGTTAATATTTAAGGTGCCAAACGCATTTGATGACCTACATTTAATATATTGATCTGCTAAAGGTTTCAAAACATTTTTACATTTGATAAAATATTTCTTACTTTAAAGGATGCATATGATGCGATTTCAATTTTTCCTTTCTCTTTGGAGTGTTACATGCTCTTGGTGCATAAAGAAGATCTGTAAAGTTGCAAAGACTAAAGTCTCAAATCCAAAGAGATATTCTTTATAAAAGTTAAGAGTCAACTACGCCTACCTAAAACAGCTTGTTCTAACATCTAACTTCGCGCTGTGGATCGCTGGATCGGCTTTCACCGTGGACGAAGTGGAGTCCAGCTCGGGGTCGTCACATGTGGTTGCCGCA